TTTTTTTTTTGGAAAGTCTCTTATGCTCACCAAGGCTACATTTATTTATTAAAAATACAGTAAACACTGTAATATTGTTAAATATTGTCAATTTAAAGTATCTATTTGAATGTTTTAACATATAGGCTACTGTATTCCTGTAATCAAAGCTGAATTTTTAGCATCATTACTAGAGCCCAGCCGATATTATCGGCCGATATGAGCCTGTTGCCGATATATCGGTATCGGCGAATATGCCGCCGATATGATTTTTTTTTTTACTGAACATATAATGCCGATGAAATGCTTCTGAATGGTGTAATTACTTAGTTTGTCCAGCAGAGCGAGCTCCATTGTTTGCTACTGGACCCAGGTCAGTGCAGTGTAGAGATGCGCGGATGAGCTCAAACTTCACCCGAGTCCTCTGCTTCAAATTATCCGCCCGCCACCCTCCCGCACCTATATTTGATCATCACATTACAATGATTCTAATTCTTTGTTTTGCATGATGATATGATGAATGGATGGTTCATTTTAACAGCAGATTCAGTGACGTTAGAGACTAGAGCTGATTTGCGCTTCACGGCACGCGTCTGTGGCACATTAAAGCCTGTGTTACAGCCACCGGAGCTGATCGTGGCCACTCAATGCTGGTGTTTACCGGAATTCTATTGTATTTTGTCACACCGCTCGCGTCCGGTGTAGAATAGAACCCATTATGTTGTCTACACCGGATTCAGTAAACTGATGCCTCGTTCTATTTATGACTGTCCAAACTTTTGACTATACTGTACTATAATATAGCCTATACATAAAGAATATCAGCCGATATATCGGTATCGGTATTGGTTTACTCCCTAATATCGGTATCGGCATCGGCCCCGGCCCCCAAAAAACCCATATCGGTCGGGCTCTAATCATTACTCCAGTCTTCGGTGTCACATGATCCTTCAGAAATAAGCTTAAAATTCTAATATGCAGATTTGCTGCTCAGTAACCATTTCTGATTATTATCAATGTTGTAAACATTTGTGCGTCACTGGGTTCTGTTTGCTTTCGTCAAATTGCGCCGCTCGCGTCTGGTGTAGACACGTTGTTTTGGTATTTGTAAATCTTAAGTATATTCATATTCTGCTTTATGCTTACCTGGAACTGGAAGTCCTTTCACAAACTTGTAACTTTCATGCTTAGAGCAGAACCATGCATCGTTCATTTATATTTCTACATGGCTCCCTGCAATACAACTTAACTCTGATTCTTCGATCGCGCCATCTAGTGGTCTGTTATTGATACAACCACAACTCCTACAACTGATAACTGAGTGCTCAAGCAGGTACTGCGAGTCATCATGTTGAGGTAATTAAAACATGTCAAATTAATATTTCGCGTTCAATTATTTACTTATCAGACAAGTGGTATCCACGGTATTGCAAAATCCATATCATGGAACAACATAATACCGGTAGTCACATTCATACCATTATAGTGCCCGCCCCTATTCTATAGTATGATATACAGAATATGAAGCATGAAGAGGTAAACAATAAACACCCCAGTCTTATTCAGAGGCCCAAACTGAGCAAAAATATACAATTTGGTGCAGCTGCTTATATTCATCAATGACATTCTGATTGCTTGTAATGTAAATCAGTGAGATCTTTATAACAGTATATAAAATGCATATAAATATCAGTTGTCACTGTATATCGCAATAATATGTCTTATGGCGCTTTTCCACTGCGTGGTACGACTCGGCTCGGTACGGCTCATTAGTAAGATGATATTTGACTGCTTAGTTTTATGTTTAAAGTTCTGTATTTTTTATTGTGGGTGTAAAACATGGAATGAAATGATGATTGAGAGATGAACAAATAAGCGTTCCTCCTGATGGATCATATTTGATAGTCACATTTTAACATGATTTTTCTAATAGATAATGTATGGATAATCAAGTAAAGTAAAAAAATCTGTAAAGATTTCACAGCAAAACCTACTAGACTGGAAGGTCTAAAATGCCGTTTACTTGCTATTAAAGTATAAACTATCAATCAGATGACAGAAGGCATGTGAACGATTGTGTACAACATGTTTTTAGGTAAAGTTTTGATCATGTTGATAATTTAGAGGCCTTATAATTTTGCGTATCAAATATGATACAGTAGGCTTTATAGAGTTAAAATAAACCTGTGTATGAATCTGGTACTAATTACTGATTTTTAGCATTTTTAAATATCTGGATCTGTATCACCATTTGAGAACGGTTTTATTAGACTAAAAAGTTGTTTTGTTATTAAATGCATGTGAATTTTTATGTCTGCTTTTAGTACGGCAGAAGCAGTTCTTCAAGAGATGGACAACATCAGCAGCATACGGCAGAATCGGGAAGTGGAGCGCCTCCGCATGTGGACGGACACTGAACTGGTGACTCCTTCTATTCTTTAACACTGATGATTAAACAGCAGAATAATTGGGCCGCCTTATTTTCCATCTCATTAAGCAAACGATTGCCCACATTGAGGTTATTAAAATCCTGCTTCACTCTGAAGCATTGGCCTTTCTCTTCAGTGTGGGCTGTGAACCCACTGATGAGTCAAAACTCACACACCACAAACTCCATTGATTCTTCCACATTACTCATTTAAATGTTTGTTGATATTTTTTTTTTTTTTGCTGCAGGAAAACATGGACATGTATTCCCGCGTGAAGAGGAGGAAATCTTTGCGTAGGAACACGTATGGAATGCAGGCGCATCACAAAGTCATGAGCAAATCAAAAGACCCAGAAGAGGAAGAAGGAACTGATGGTATGTGTGGACTGCGAAACTGCCCTAAACACAGTTTAATTGTTTGCATACAACTCTGTTGATTTTTGATTATTAAATACATTTGATTAATTCATTGATTATTAAATAGACATATTTTCTTGTTTTATTTTACTTATTTAAAATTTTTGGCTTGTTTGTTTAAATTTTTCATTTATTGCGTCTGACAATATGTCATCTGTCTTGTTTATTTGTTTTAAACCTGTACCTTGTATTTCGTTTGTGAGACATGTCATGTGTCCCCCGTCTGCAAAAAAAGTGTAAAAGGGCTTTTCCATTGCAGAAGTTCTGAATATACATTTTTTTTTTCGATTTTCAACTGTGATGATGAAAAGGTTTAGTTTGTTGTTTGTTTTAAAGAGTTCTCTCTTTTTTATTTTTAAGAGTCACATGAGGAGGGAGAGGAGGATGAGGATGTGGAGGCTGATGATGATGAAGATGATGAAGGAGATGAGGCAGAAGAGGCTGGAGAGGAGAATGACAGACCGTATAACCTCAGGCAGCGTAAAACTGTGCAGCGATATGAAGCACCCCCAATAGGTACCTGCTCCGGACACATTCACACATGAGCATCTGTACTCAGACTCGCTTACCTGAGCTTCCTGTATTCCTCAAGTCATGCTCGAGCATCTAAAACATCCTTATGACCAGCAGATATTTCCACGCCATGCAGCGTGTGCATTTTAATGGCTGTTTTAAATTATGATTTTGCCTTTTGAATGCATTTCATTTGTGTTTTCTCAGAGCCAGTGAACAGGAAGCAAAGCAAGGGCTCTCTGTTCGAAACACACAGATCTCCTGCAAGAAGAAGCCATATTAGGTGAAGAATGGTTATTTACAACAGTCCAATCCATAAGTTTCTATTCATGTGTTATTTCTTCCTTTTTGGAGGGCTATATTTTCTGTGTTTCAGGGTTGTTATAGTTAACTAAAACATTAAATAAATAAATGGAAATGAATTAAAAGTTAAGTGAAACAAAATATTATATTTAAAAACTCTTAACTTATTAATTTTAGCTAGTTGCCAAGGCAACATTTCTCATTCTTTAATTTAATTTTTAAATTAATTGCTGTAGTTAAAAACTAGTATTAAAGCTGAAATAAAAATTAATAGAACTGTATAGACATATATATAAAAAAAAGACAAAACGTACAGCAAAACTACTAAAACTTCAATTAAAATTAAAATGAAAACAAAATGTAAAATTAAACTACTAAAAATATTAATATAAAATAGCAAAAATTTCAATAGAATCTCGATACTAAAACAACAATGCTGTGTTTTCGTCACCAGAATAAAGAAACATGCCATTCACAGTAGTGAATCAACATCATCGTCTGATGAAGAGCGCTTTGAGAGGCGGAAAAGCAAAAGCATGAGCCGAGCTCGTAACAGGTGACATTAAAACTGTTATCAAACAGAATGACTGATTATTCACTCAATGTGTGACTCATTACATGGCTAAAGTATGTGAACTTAGTAAGGTTTGACGTTACTTGTTTTAAATTTTTTGTCTATATTGTGTGACAGGTGTCTACCCATGAACCTGCGGGCAGAAGATCTGACCAGCGGTGTGCTTCGAGACCGAGTAAAAGTGGGTGCCAGTTTGGCAGATGTGGATCCCATGAATCTAGACTCTTCTGTGAGTCTGGGTGTTATAATACTCCTCTACATTCTTTGATGCTTTGTTGATTTTAGGCTAAGGAAAAAGATGCTTTGCAGGTTACCATATGTTCTTGTCTCTTTCAATGCAGGTGAAGTTTGACAGTGTAGGCGGTCTCACCCATCACATCCAGTCTTTAAAGGAGATGGTTGTCTTTCCTCTACTATATCCAGAAGTGTTTGCGAAGTTTAAGATCCAGCCCCCAAGGTAAGGGTTTTTGCTTATATGATTGCTTTCTAGTTTTGTGTGTAAAAGTGCATCCGTTGGTGTGCTGTCCAAGGTTAACCCTAACATGTTTGTATCATGTTTTCCCTCATTGCAGAGGATGTCTGTTCTATGGGCCTCCAGGAACTGGGAAGACGCTGGTGGCACGGGCTTTGGCCAATGAATGCAGTCAGGGTGACAGGAAGGTGTCTTTTTTCATGCGCAAAGGAGCCGACTGCCTTAGCAAATGGGTGGGAGAGTCTGAACGACAGCTCCGCCTACTTTTTGACCAGGTGAGCTAGTAGACGACCTCACAATCCTGGCCCCAGTATGACCTTGAGCTAGTTTCTTTTGTCTGTGAGGTGATGTTTATTGATGAACAGATATTGCACATTCCTGGATGTTTGTTTTATGTAAAAGAAAATTAGGGTTAATGATTTGAAAACGTTTAAATGTTAAATCAATTGTTAAACTTCTTTGCAATTTAAGTTTGCGGTTTTAAATCAATTTTGTCATTTACATAATAATATAGGGCTGGACGATAAATTTATATCACGATATATTTCTTAATTTCGGTCGATACGATATAATTCCGATATCGATATGAACACTATTAAAAAAAGCCTTATTAAAACTGCCAAGAACGCCCACAACAGATGTCTTTACCTACAAACTTATGAAAAATTAATTTGCCAAGTCTATGAAACCTCTTCCTATAAAACTAATTAATTTTCTAGAAAAAAAACAGCACAAATAAATTAATGTTCACCTTTTATTTGTGTTTAGACTTCATACAAACAAGAAATGTGAAATCACTGTCAAATAAACATCTCAGATTCACCTTATTAATTATTAATATTTTTAACTTCAAACTATAGGCTAACATACACTACCAGTCAAAAGTTTTTGAACAGTAAGATTTTTAATGTTTTTTAAAGAATTCTCTTCTGCTCATTTAGCCTGCATTTATTTGATCCAAAATACAGCAAAAACAGTAACATTTTGAAATATTTTTACTATTTAAA